ATTTAGGGGGCGTTTTTCCCCATCAGGGCAGAGGGCATCTTTCCCCAAGGTACCGAATGAACATTTAATCAGTACAATTTGTTAGCCATAAAACTACACCCTGAAAGCTGGTTGTGACACAGGACACGCCTGTTTAACCCGCGCCTTGATGGGGTCTGCCGAGCAACGCGGTCTGATGGGGGGGCCATTTTGCCCCCCCCCCCCCTAAGATCTCGAGAACCACGCAACATAGCGACAAGCGGCAAACGGCGTTGGATAGCCCCAATGGGTAACTACCTTGTGATCGAATTTCATTGACCTAAGTCAAACCGATGACGTCACAGGTCAGGTCAAAGGTCGAATTTTCACCGTTTACAGGCATTTCAAGAATTGCGTTGTAAAATCGAGTAAAATACATTTCATTGAAAATCATCGATAGGTAAATGTTCGTCAAACACATATTTTGCTATTTGAGGTCACTGATACCAGGTCAGGTCACAGAGGTCAGGTCACTGAAGGTCACAAATTAAAAATATCATGTGATGCGTGTTTTATGGTCCATTTTATATGCCAAATGCGATTATGTGGGACAGGCAACCCTTGGGGTCAGTTCATATTATGTTTTGGTCATGGTCAGGTCAAGGTCAGGTCAAATTAGGTCAAATTTCAAAGTAGATATTTTTGCATAAAATGGGTATCTTTTCGATGCAGCTAGTCACGGGAAGTTCAATGGTGGTCTCCGTTTTGCGCTACGTGGTCTAGAATTGTTAAAAATCGAGTTCAAAAATTTGACGTCATCAATTTTAAAAGTTTTTTCGCTATAACTTGGCCAAAAAAGGGGTATCGATCTGAAATTTGGTATGTATATCGAAGAGCGAAGGGACTATCACATATATTCCGTTCTTTCGAAATTCGAAAAAATGATTTTTTTTAGTTTTTCTAAAAAATCAATCAATGTTTTATATTTACAATGTTTTGACACCAAAATATTTTTTGAAAGCAGCAAATAAAAAGCATGCAATTACTACTGGTGATTCACCCGTCAACCGTTGCCCAACTGAGCTTCGCAAATTTTTGTGCAGTTAACAAGACAGGCTTCCGCTTTACGCTAAGAGTATAAATGTCCAGGTTCGATTCTTTGTTCCGCCGCTAGAGGGGGTGGGGCGCCTTTACCACATGCCGAGATATTCCTTTAACATTAGCACGTGCATTTGGGAAATGGCTTCGGCCCGCCTCGGCTAATGTTGAAGGTATTTGGGAAACGATTCGGCCCTAGGGCTTTTTGATTTTCCCAGACAAAATTTTACTGAATATTCTGAGCGGAAGAACCAATTTCAAAGAAGATATTTACGGATTGTGTGTTCACTAACAGCAACAGCAAAAGTAAGTGACTGCGTGTTTACTTACTTTTGCTGTCAACGTAATTCAACTAAACAAGGTTATCGTTCCAATGCCAATATATTTATTGCTGCAGAACATGGTCGGAATAATAATTATTTCTACATAATGCACGCAAAAAAAAACGAACAATTTAAATGCGTGAAGCATCTTAACGTGCCACAATGAAACATTTGATATTGTTCCACCTGGGATCCAAGACGCGTTTGATTAAGCGTTTCACCCAATTTTCAGTTTTCCTCACGGTTTCCTCACTCCTGCTGGACTCCATATCTTTATTCTAACTTCTTCACCATCTTCATCCTCAGCTTTTTCAAACCCTAAATAAGGGGGAAGTAGGAATTTCATCTTGCATGCTCAACGCAGCCCAATAATGAAAAACACAAAAAATAATCACGGTGACTATAAATATGAACATAGTACTAATATAATATCAACACAATATTAAGATTAAAGTGTAAAATATCAAATGAATATGATATTAACTGTTGCGCCAGTACGGCATGTGGTAAATCTCTTCCCAACCTTGGGCTGTGAAAATGCAGTTTTATTCACCTCGGTTTTTTGCTACGGACCTCGTGCCTACCGGCACTCGGTCCTCCGCACAAAAACCTCGGTGAATAAAACGCATTTTCCCAGCCCCGGTCGGGAATATATATTCCCATACGCCGAGATATCCCTTTAGCATTATCCTAGCCGTGCGGGAAACATTTGCACGTGATCTTTCCTGCACTGTTTTCCGGCACGGGTTGATGACCTACAGTTCTGGTGATTTTTTGATAAAAATCTTAAAAAAGGTGATTTCAATAATTAAATTGTGAGTTTCTGAATAGATATCACGGACGTATAAATAAAAGTGTGATAGATATTAAACGGCGTATGGGAAATATCTTACTGAACTTGCTCTGGGAAGAAAAATGGAAACCTCGGTCTTCAAAAAATCTCCGGCACTCGGCTACGCCTCGTGCCTACAATTTTTTAAAGACCTCGGTTTCCATTTTTCTTTCCCAGAGCCGTTCAGTAATATATATTCCCACCCTGGGCATCTTACCCCACTCTGAACTCTCTACTTTAATTTTCCAATTTTTAAGGTTTTGAAAAGCTGAGATAGTAGTTTGATAGCCCTGTGTATTCTGAGTCTTGTCATACAAAGAAATCAGATATATTAAAGTGACCATCCCACCTTAACATTAGTTTTGAGCTGAGATAGCCGATTGGGCTCCCTGTCTTGCACACACCGGTTTGGGCACTCACAACATCGAGAAAGGCTTTAATTCGGAGATATTTTATTTCAAAGTTGCAGCACTTTGGATTTAGAGGGACTAATGCATTTGAATGCCCCCTCTCAATTTGTGACGTCCAGTGGCGGCGGAACACCTTCAATAAGGGGGGGGGGGCACTGCCGACTTTTGGTCCCATTCTTTTGATGCAACATCCATAGGGCTAATGTAATGTAGGGCGGTGCAAAAATCAAAGTGGACACGGTGCCCCGGTGTCCCCCCCCCCGTTCCGCCGCCTTTGGTGACGTCAGCGCAGATCTAGCGATTTAAAAATATTGCACTAACATCTTTGTGAATCAGTGATGGTGAACACTGCTTCGCACGCAACATCTGCCGTACTTATAAGATACCAAATTATTGCTTCCAAATGATGTTGTAGGAACAGCGAAGGCTCCGAAAAATAAACAAAAGTAATTTTCTAATATCTCAAAAACCGGTTTGTATTTTTCAATGAAATTTGTTAGATATTCATTTTTTTCTCCATTTGAACAATGCGACACCACTGTTATGGCCAATTCATTACCTTTTTTTAACCCTCGCCCGCACATGCCAATTTCCCATCCTAGAACGCACATGGGGGGGGGGGTGCCACCCCCGCGCCATTTCGTTCCTGTTGGAGATAGAGCTTCGCGGTAAAGACCAAAAAGATTCTTTGGGAAGAGACGAATCCAATGATACCCAGTTTTACCTTCTCAGGTCAGTCATTGACCTTCCAGGTCAGGTCAAACTAAAAAATGTTGCTGTTTTCGGTCACCGTTGGATATCAAGTGCGCTGCTTATCATATACCGATGACGATGCCGTTTTCTGGTGCCAAGTCAGCTAGAGCCTCTTTGTCACACTATCCGACCAGTTTTTGCTGCTGAGGTCATTTCAGGTCAAGTTAGGTCAAGGTCAATGATATTTGTTTGTATGTCTGTGTGTGTCTGTGTGTATACTGATGTGTGCACCGATTGTTTAGGTGTCCATATTACATGAAATCATGATCTGAGAAGCTTTTACCAAAAATGCAGTCAAAAAACTTCACGGAAAGTCAATTCAGCTTGCCTAAAACGCAGTTATTTTAGATGACCTTGGTTGACCTTGACCCTGACCTTGACATCTGTACAGTCTGTCTTAAAAGTACCGCGCAAAGTGACGGTGGATCCATCAAGCCTGACCGAGGAAGGGCCTGCTATAATTTGAAAGTCACCGAAACAATTGACCTGGGGAATGAACGATGATGTCAATTGCATTGTATAGTTTTAAGACAGACTATACATCGTCTATCAACATGTTCCATGATAGGTGGGAGGTAAGACTGACAAAAAAGGTCGAAATCAAGGTGTCAAAAGCTCACAAGGCCCATAGCCAACGCAAGATGTTGAGAATTGGTCATTTGGGTCATGACATGACCTGAAAAAACAAGGTCATATCTCCGAAACCAAAAACCACAGAAACTTGACATTTTCAGTGGACATCAAGAAAGGATAGAGGAGCAGCTATACGAAAAATCAGGCTTCTAGCTTCAAAAAATGTTGAGTGCAGAGCAGAAAGACTACCTGGTGGGGGTGGCAACCCCCCCCCCCCCCATGTGCGGGCGAGGGTTAAGGTGGAAGCCAGGATCCCTTTAAAAACTGAGCTCTTGAGAACGATTACCGTAGTTCAATGTCTTGCATTAAAATCGGCCGAACATGACGGCACTCTGACGTCATTTCCGTCCGACTTTTGGTGGCTACGAAATTTTTGTTTTGACGCAAGTTGTGAAATTGATGTAGCCGAAGATACCTTCTGTTAGTTGTTAATACGCCCAGCGGTTTAAAAGATATGGCAAAAAACGGGAGGGGGTCTGTATGTCATGCGCGGGTTAAGCAGGAATTGAGCTGCCAACCCCGCCCACCCACTGTACCCGGGCGAGCAGTTGGCAAATGTGAGGCACCCTCTGCGCCGGCAGCGAAAGTTTGTCGTACCGCGGGCCAAAACTGAGCGGTATAAAAAGTCCACTGTGCCTGTACTCATAGATCTACTGAACAGGATGTGATCCCCACGTAGATATGCTCGGAGTTCTTTTGAAATGCACTGTGTTTTTAATTTTTGTGATGCTTTTCAGTTCATGTGGTGCCACCATTGCACAGGAGCTCATGTACGGCCTTTTTACCAGTCGTTCACTGTCACGTGGTCAAATACACTTTTATGTATGTATGTATGTATGTATGTATGTATGTATGTATGTATGTATGTATGTATGTACGAAAGGGACTCCGGTATGAATAATGGTTTTGAAACCAGATCCTGTATTTAATGTGTTGTGATGTTGCTGGTGCCTGCTGTCAGCTGTCTTTTCTCATCCTCTCTGAAAATTTCAGACTGGTATCGGACAGAAGCGGACAAGCCAGGCTGTGCATACAACGCCGTCAGACATGAGTAAGTACTCTGTTCTCCAGTTATTTGTCAAAGTTCCGTTATGAAATTAACCTCCCCTACCTCATTCAAGGAGTCAGTTCAGCTGCCCACTCAGGACGCAGGGCGTATTATAACTTATAAGGCACTTACTGTGCCCCATTTCGGGAAACAGCACCCTTGCCTTAGTACAGAGCCCCTGTGAATTTGACCCACTGTATCCCTTCCCTGTGCCCTGTCCAGTGACCCGTGCCCTGTGCCCTGCCTTGTGCCCTGTCCTGTGCCCTGCCCTGTGCCCTGTGCCCTGCCATGTGCCCTTCCTTAACCCTGCCTCCTTTGACCTGCTCGCTGTCCTGCCTTGCGCCTTGCCCTGTTCCCTCTGCCCAATAGTTGGCCAGCTGTTTGTGTACTTGTGGGCGTCGGGTAATCATACACCAACGTCCATAAATGCTTCTATACCTAATTGCAAGGATGTGCCATTGGTGCGCTGTCGTAACCATACCGTATGCCTTTTGCTCTACTTCGAGAGCCGAGACACTAAAGATTTATTAACCCGAGCCCCGCTGGGGGGGGGGACAGAATCTGCCCCCCTCCCCACGTATTTCGCCAATAACTTATAAACGCGTTACGCCAGCGACGTCAAACTTTCAGTACCTGATCATACATCAATTTAACACGTTCCCTGAAAATTTGAGCGAAATCCGTCGGATTTTTCCCTCAGAAAATTGCGTTTAAGTCACGTCATGTCACGCGATTTTTGCCTCAGAAACGGCAAAACTTCAAACGCCGCTAACATCTTCATTTTTAAAGGAATCAAGACGTAACAAAAAGGTTATACGTGATTCTACTTTTTCTATCAAATATCTATCTTGTTTTTTGTGAGAAATTTGGATTTTGGCCCATTTTTTTTTAACTCACTTTTTTGGAAAATAAAATCCAAAATTTTGAGTGTATCGGCTATCGGAAAAAAACGGAATATATGCCACAGAAATGATCTATGTGTACCTACAATCTACATACCAATTTTTAGAAGAATGGGTTAAAAAAAGGTGGGAGTTATTCAAACTTTTATGACGTCACGGCACACAAAATTTTTGAAAAATGCATTTTTTGGAAGTTTTAGAACTCGCACGGAAACAAAACTAGCACCATTCGATTCGCCGTGAAAACTGCATCAGATAGATACCTTTTTAGGTCTTAACAACCAACTTCAAAATTTGACCTCACTTGACCTGACCTTGACCTGGCCTTGACCTGAAATTCATCCAGATGTGGTCCATATCACTTATTGAGTGTGCATATTGAATTCTATGAATTAAATGACCCATAAAACATGTGTCGCACATGCCCTTTTCTATATTTCGTTTTTGGTGACCTGACCTGACCTTGACCTTGACCTTTGCATGATATTGTATGCAACGAATATTGTCTTGGTAGCCTAGGAACACGTTTTGGGCAGTCTCAGTCCATTCTTCGGCAACTACGGTGCAATGCCGACACTGTAGAAACTTGTATTTAGTACCCTTGACCTGACCTTGACCTGACCTCTGACCTACTTAAGCAAAAAAAAAATCATTTCAAAAGATCCGCCTTGTTGAGAGCTTACGATTGCCGTCTTTCTACGACCATCGGTTCGGAAGTTAGACAGAAGGGGGCAGAATCTCCTCCACCCCCCCCCCCCCTCCCAGCAGGGCCCGTATGGCTGAATAGCCCAGCGGAGCGCTGGACTGAATAGCCCGCTTTTTACGCGAGTTATTCGCGAAAAACCGAGTCAGTCGGGGAAACTGGTCAAACCTTCCATTTTTTGAAGCCTTCCATTTTTGGAAGGATTTTCCATACTTGGGTACACAACTTCCAAAAATGGGTACGCTGACGACGTCATCGTACCCAAATATAGAAAATGTTGCGCATATGTTGGAACTTACTGATTTCCGCCGAACATGAGGCCCGCAAATGCGACTATCGCCCCTGGTCGCTTTCAATTCGCCATAGTGAAGTGTACATATGTAATCTAGCGTGGATGTCTAAATCCTAGCGTGGATGTAATTTATGTAATTTTTCAAAGTAATGAGTCGTGGAAAATTGACAAAAATTTACCGACAAACGATGGATTTATAAGACTTTATGAAACATTTTGTAAGCAAAAAGCATCCAAAACGAAAAGTAAATATCCTTAAAAGTACTTTAATGATGGGCCATGCTTGTTTGATACCGCCGACTTTGTTTACAGTGCGGAATTGTCGGGACGGAGTGCGGGGGTCCTGCAAAATCTTCCATTTTTGGAAAATGCATTGGAAGGTCCTTCCAAAAATGAAAGGCTTCTAAAAATGGAAGATTTGACCACAGTTTCCCCCACTGGAGTGAGCCGTTCGACCCCCCCCCCCCCCCCATACGGGCGAGGGTTAATTGCCCAATGACACGAACCGTTTCCGTTCGTATCTCATACGGAAACTTGCATACGAAGCTAAGAACCTTGGCAAACGAACTTCTTGCATACGAGCCTTATTCACTACGAGCCTTGGACATACGAACCTTGACCGATGCTACTTCCCCACTACGAGCTTAAGCCGTTACGAACCTTATTCCCTAGGAACTTTATCCGATACGAACTGTTCCATACGAACCGTTGCCTGCGAACTCTTGCGCATACGAAGTTTGGGTTTACGAACTGTTGTCCGGGTGGCGGTAACTGGTGTCTTTGTCGCCAGGTAACGGGTGCAGGTCGTGGATGCTGAAGATGCCCTACGCCACTCTGTTGGCCACCCTGCTCTGCATCATCGGGGTCGGCGTCTTCTGCGGCTGCATCTACAGGGTGTTCACACTCTGCCTTAGGATGTTTGATGAAGTCTTCCACTTCCACCTGGACTGGTAGGTGGCGGAGCTGACCGTCTCATGCATCATATCTTTTTAGACCACTGGAAACTGTGCGAAGCATGTGAGTTCATGCGAAGCTGTTCATTCTTAGGTGGTGTGCACCATAGGTGGGCATCGTTAATCAAAAAGTTAGTTTCGTTAATCGATAAAATCCTTTAACTAAAAAGTTAGTTCCGTTAAACGATAATCTAACCGTTAACCCGGCGGCCGCTGGGCCTCCGCGCCACCTGCCGGCCGCTGGGGGGAGGGGGGGCATATAGTTGCCCCCCCCCCTTTACTTCCGCGGCGATATCGTCGCAACGCGAAGAGATAGAGAAGCGAAACTTTGCACACATCTTCCTGAATACCTAGCCGAGATTGTGTCCAAATTTGGTGTCGATCCCATTTGAAATGACGTCACAGTGACGTCATAAGTCAAATTGTAGATTTGCGACTCTCAGTTTCCTCACGATACATCAGGTATATGGGACCGAATATAAAGGGCCGATTATTGGTTAGGAACTAGATGGAAGTGTACTTAGATGTTTTAGGATGACAGCAGGTGCTGTCTAGTTCATTTACAGTTGAGTTTCATGCTCAGCGTCATCAGAAACGGTCCATATCGGAAAACGACAAAACTTTATGACGTCACTGTGACGTCATCTTAGATGCTACAACCACCAAACTTTCTTCAAACATTGCCTAGGTATTCATTTGAAGCTATACCAAGTTTCACGTTCGTAGCTCATCAGGTTTCGGAGATATTCCACAAAACGTAAGGGGGGGCAACTTTATGCCCCCCCCCAGCGACTCGTGGGTTAATTCACAACAAAAGTAACGGAAGTTACTTTAGTCCGTTAACCCGCGACCGCCTGGGGGGTCGGATCCGACCCCCCCCCCTCCGTTTTTCTTGAATAACTCACGAACCACTTTCGCTATCTACTTTTAACTAGGCATACCTTCTCCCCCATCAATTTGACGTCTCCTGTGCAATTTTTAAGAAAAAAGTTCCAAAAATCTCTGAGATATATCGATTTTAGTGATGTAACTACATGGCGTTTTTAGTCAAAAAGTGGTAAATGTTTAAAAAATCGCCATAAATCAGAGTTTAAAGCAAATTGCACATTAACCTGCGAGTTGCTGGGGGGGGGGCGTTAAACGCCCCCACTTTTTTCGCCGGGCCATAGCATAAAAACGGCGCGCCGCAGGCGCGCCAAATTTTGGGTACCTGTAGGGAATTAATTGAAGTTTATTGTGACAAAGTTTCAAAAAAATCGGTCGGAAAATTTTTGAGATATCGAGGTTTTAGTGACGTCATGATTTCTGAGTTTTCGACCAAAAACGGCATATGTTCAAAAAATCATATAAAATCACAGAATAGACATACAGACATGCCGTAAACGCCATTAGACTGCCAAAACCATGATCAATCAAATCGCTATCTTCGATTATTGATTATCATTCCGCATTTTCCAAAATCTTGAACTGAATCTTGGCAATTTTTCGTGACTTCTTCACGACCATGATACATGAATTTCTTAAATTGAAGTTTTTGAGCCAAACACGTACACATATGATAAAATGAATGTCACCATCGTGTTGTACGCCCCAAATTACCTATAAAACATGTGTCACAGGCTGCGAATATCAGTTTTGATTTTCGGGGATATGTGCCTACCCGGTTGACCTGACCTTGACCCTGACCTATGCTTGACTGACCCCTATATGGAGCTGACACTCTTGTAGGCCTTATAGGGTGGATTGTGCACCGTTTTGACAGAGTTTATGGCGAGAGGCGCCCATTGCGAAGTCCTGAAATTCATGCTACTGAAAGTCCGATTTCAGGTGTTTGACCTGACCTTGACCCTCAATCTTAAAATCTTAAGAGTGCTTTGGGAAGGTCTTGTAGAGACCTTTCGAACGCCGCCTCGCGGGGCTCGATACGACCATTGGTTCTCGAGATAACAGGGGGGGGGTCGGATCCGACCCCCCCCCCCAGGCTGTCGTGGGTACGGAAATAGCCCAGGCGGTGCCGGGTTAATCGTTAACATTTTACACGGTAATAAGTAATAAACAATATGAAAATGCTTGTGCATTTTTCTGAGGACAACTCGACCAACCTACGCTAACGACTAGGTGCCACTCACTTGTCGTAGCGCGGTTCTGCTCTCGAAGACCTGCCAACAACTGCGCCTGCTCGGTGACGGTATGGATAAGATATACCTATTTATAAATATAATACATGGTGATGATATGTGTGATGCGAAGGAAGGGAAAACTTCGCCAGAAAGGAAAAACTTCGCTGCATGAAGGTTTCATACACACCAGTAACTTTACAGTAAACTTTTTCCTTCGAAATAAAAGTAACGATTAACGGATTAACGGACTAAACTTAAACGATTAACGGAGCCGAAAAGTAACGGAACTAAAACGGTCCGTTACACGTGGAAAAAAATTAGCGAGTCCGTTAATCGTTAACCCAAAATTTAGTTCCGTCCGTTAATTAACGGATTAGCGATTTAACGGACTTGCCCACCTATGGTGTGCACCTGTCGCCTACCACAGCCAATGTCTGAACATTGGTTCGCACTGCGATCGCCTCTAGTCGCGGTCGGCCGCTGCAGTCACGTGGCCGCCCGCCCGTGACGTCAGACACCGGCCGGTGATGACGTCACGGGTGGGTGGGGGCGGCAGGAAGCGCGCCGTCTCGGTACTGATCAGTGGAGCGCGGCCGGCGCCCGGGGCCGCGCCCGGAAGGCAGCCGGACAGGTGCACGAAAAACGGTCCGGACTGCGCCCGCGGCGCGGCGCGGCGCGCTCCACGCGTGACGCGCACAGCACCGGCCCGCCACAGCCAGTCCGAGGAAGGCTCCTAATGACATCACGCCACGATTTCTGTCATTTTTGCTTCGCCGGCCCTTCCGTTTTGCCTATAGTCATTTTTTCCCAAAAGGGGTTTGGCTTCAAACACATTTTTCGACTGAATCCAACGCTTGAGCCATTATTCGATTCAGCAGGTCTTCCTGAGTCCATTGGTGGCTTTTCCCACTGGGTAGCTCATTTTGATCGGAAGTTATTGACGGAAAACTCTTATTACCCTTGTGACGTCATAAATGACGTCACGGAAGGTGACAGCGGTTGTAGTTGTAGTTGACCGGTTGTAGTTGCACTCCTCTCATGGTGTCCAAATCCCAATACGCTTCTTTCAGTTTCGAGGCACCACCTCAACTAGGGGCTAATCACCAAGGCGTTCGCTCGGGCGGAAAATTCCAATAAAACCTTCAGCTAAAAAAAAGTCACAAAAATATTTTTTTAAATAAAATCTCACAAAAATTTCCACTAGTAAAGGAGACATGCAAAAGTTACTTTTTCAATAGAAAAGGCAGAACAATGCTTCCCTCGTATAAAGCTCGCGTTGCGTGGTCACGAGGTCACGAGATCAAACACGAAAATTTTGTAAAATTAAGGGTGTAGATTTACTGCTACGCTCATTGTGAACACATTCATATATTGTTTTGCATTTTTTTTTTCACTTAGATATAAGCCATCGAATATCGTCATGTTTCGTGACCTCAGAAAAATGCCGGAGGCTTTAACTCCGTAATGCTTGCTCCAATCGAGCTGAAACTTGCAGAGCTGGAATCAGCGCATCAGATAACCCGACAGACGTATTTTGAACGAAATATGAGGTGCACCCCTGGTCGATATATCGTGGAATGTCCCGAGACCTGTGGTCTGACGCCCGGCCCGGCTCGTCTATGGTCTGTGGTCTGTGATCTGACGCCCGGCCCGCTATATGTGGTCTGTGGTCTGACGCCCGGCCCGCTATATGTGGTCTGTGGTCTGACGCCCTGTGGTCTGTGGTCTGTGGTCTGACGCCCGGCCCGCTACATGTGGTCTGTGGTCTGACGCCCTGTGGTCTGTGGTGTGTGGTCTGACGCCCGGCCCGCTATAGGTATGTGGTCTGTGATCTGACGCCCGGCCCGCTACATGTGGTCTGTGGTCTGACGCCCGGCCCGCTATATGTGGTCTGTGGTCTGACGCCCGGCCCGCTATATGTGGTCTGTGGTCTGTCGCCCGGCCCGCTATATGTGGTCTGTGGTCTGACGCCCTGTGGTCTGTGGTCTGACGCCCGGCCCGCTATATGTGGTCTGTGGTCTGACGCCCGGCCCGCTATATGTGGTCTGTGGTCTGACGCCCGGCCCGCTATATGTGGTCTATGGTCTGTCGCCCGGCCCGCTATATGTGGTCTGTGGTCTGACGCCCTATGGTCTGTGGTCTGACGCCCTGTGGTCTGTGGTCTGACGCCCGGCCCGCTGTCTGTGGTCTGTGGTCTGACGCCCGGCCCGTCTGTGGTCTGTGGTCTGACGCCCGGCCCGCTATATGTGGTCTGTGGTCTGACGCCCGGCCCGCTTTGCCGCCAGGCTGGAGCCCGTCCAGCTCGTCTGTATGATTGTCGGTGTGGCCATGGCCGCGCTGGGCATCATGATTCTGCTGGTGGGCTGCCTGACCACGGGCTCGACGCGCGCGCGGGTGTTCCGGAGCCGGCCGGGCAGGGCGCGCGGCCGCACCTCCTGTGCCGTGGTGAGTGCTGGGCCCTGGCTCTACAAACCCAGCGAGAAAGCAAGCAGTAGTAGTGGTTATCTGGATGGGCTCAGTTGGCGAACCCGACCTGCCGCCGGGTGGGTTTCGCTGTCCAATGGGTTCAGTTGGCCGCGCGCCGGCTGTCTGAGTGGTTGGTAAGCGGTCTTCTATCTCGTTGGGTTTGTTTGGCGTCTGTCTCAGAATAGTGTTTAAATGCGACCACCATTTGATTTTTTTAATGAAGGAACGATAGAGGAAAATGCGGATATTGTTAGTGAACGTTTCAACGGAAATTGCGTTTGAAATAGCCGTAGTTTCCTATTTAAAGAAAAGTGCCTCCCTTTTATCCAGGCGGGGGGGGGGGGTGTATCATTCTTTAAAGGGACCTTCCCACCTTCAAAAAAGTTAATGAATTGGCATGAGAGTGATGTCGCTCGGTTCAGAAAGAGCAAAAACGAATATCTCAAATTTCACCGAAAATATTCACCGGTTTTCAAGGTGACTTTTACTTTTGTTTACTTTTTTGGGATCTCCGCTGTTCCTAGCGAGTTCATTTTGGAAGTGCGGCGTTTACGGCGGATGTTACGCGCAAATAGCATATACCACCACTGCTTCACAAAGATGTTAGTATAAGGTTTTGAAATCGTTAGATCACAGCTGACGTCACAAATTCTAAGGGGACGTTCCAATGCATTAGCCCCTTAGAATCAAAAAACTGCAAGTTTGAAATTCCATATCTCCGAATTAAAGCATTGTTCGATGCTGTGAGTGTCCAAACCGGTATTTGCAGGCCATGGCCACCAATTTGGCTATCTCAACTCAAAACTAATGTTAAGGTGGGATGGTCACTTTAACATTTGATACAGATGCACAATAGGTCGGATGCGGTCGCTAGCACGCCATAAATGGTTTTGGTGACTTTCGCGAAGTACAGAGTGTCCCATAAGTTCGTTCTCACCTTATATTGGCATGTAAAACAGAGTATATTGCGTTTTGTTATGTTTATGACCCCTCAATGTGCTCCCCATTTCATAGGCAAACACCTTAATATGTGCTGCGGCATGCCAACCGGCATGTTTAGCAGCATAGTAGGCTTGAAGTTAGCCCAGACTGACTTGACATGCGCCGTGAGCTCCTCGAGGCTGGAACAGCGCTTCGCCTCGATGAGCCTCGATTTCAATATTTCCAACCACAGATAACAGTAGTACTACTGTTATCTGTGTTCCAATACATTTTTATGAAATTTGGGTCCGATGAGTTGCCTGGGATGTGATCTTGCCACAGACGCCTATCACAGTCTCCTGGCACTGCTTTTAAGCTTTGCTTGACCTCTGCACTGATGCACTGTCTTGCTTGAAGATGGGCCTACGACCTCCCGGATGCCATTTTCTCCTCCAAAAATGTGTTCATATCGCGGTTCGAATTGAGCTAGAAGGCTGAAACTCCTCCTAGATCTTCTTGGAGAGGCATTCTGCGTCCCAACACTGTTTCTGGAGTATCAATCGCAACCTGCTCAGCGTCTGGACGCATATTACCCCACATTACCGTGACCCTGGCCTTTTGCATAGGAATAAAGCGGGATGACACGAAGGCCTTTTCCGTCGCCCATATGGGACCGTTTTGGGGTTTGGACGGGTGTTTTATCTCGAACACGGACTTGGTAGTCCAGATGACCATATTGATGTCATCGTGTTTTTTTTTTTTTTTTAGCCTCAGGCATACCGAAACAAATGTTTGGCCATATTAAGGCATTTTTGACTGTTTTGCGTCCTCCGTTAAGTTTAAGCCCAAGTGACCGTGAGTTATGTACCCCGAAATAATACTCTTAGACAGCTGGTAATCCATCCTGAAAAGCCTGCTTACCAACTTTCTAACGCTAAGACGTTTTTGACGGCCACTATGGGTATGGCGCCACACAGTTTTGGCCACATGGCTCACTCCTGAGAGCTGACAAAAAAGAGCATAAACTTGCAGCGATTGACTCCCGACAAATCATCGGCGTCACTTGCTGACTGTGCGTCCAGTTAGCGACAGACATTGGCTATAGACTGGATGGCCTCAATCACCCCCAACCCGCAACCGTCGCAAATGGCCCACGTGCAGACTAAATACCGAGACGTACCCGTATCGGAGACCTTTATGTTGCGGCGTAAGCCGTCTCCACAGGAAGTGAACTCTCTAGCAAAGAATATTTTGTCTAGACGAATTAGTTACCGTGGAGCATATTCACAGTTGTCATGGCAACCCCAAAAGCTCAGTTACAAAATAAATTAAGCGTGACTTTAACCCTCGCCGGCACAGGGGGGAGGGTTGATGCAACCCCCCTCCCCTAAGGTTTTTCGCGAATAACTCGCGTAAAAAGCGGCCGATCGCGACGAAACTTTCAGTACCCTCGCATTGATCAATTTTACACCTACCCTGCAAATTTCATGACCCTGACCCAAATGACCTTTGACCTGTGACCTCTTTTCCGAGACCATGTTTGGCCGGAATCGCGATTCCGCGTATGTCGGCTCGCATTAGCCGCGCGTTTGCAAGCTTTTCGTGGTTTCAAACGTTCAAACATGTAATATGAATGATGTTGCTCCCATGCATTAGGGTTGGTGTCAAGGTCACCTGAAGGTCAGGTCAGGAGGTCAGGTCATTGACCTTTGATGACCATTGACCTTTGATGACCTCGGTTCACTTTTTCGAGTTTTACATGTTTCTAGGCTAGTTTTTGGAGCTGAATTCGAATTTAGCAACCATTTGAACATTTAAGAAGTAGTTTTGGTGCCTTCGTAACATGTTACGAAGCTGTCTGAGGCGGTTGACACGTATTACGAATACCCGTCACAACCCCTACCGGTTGACCTGACCTGACCTGACCCGACCTGGTCTAAATGCTTAAAGACATCATCTCTGATCAAAACTAACACGATATTCGTGATCAGCACCCCGGAAAACCACATAGTAGCCACACTTTACGACTTTCTAACAGGTCCCGATTTTCCCGGTTTTCGGGTCATTGACCTGACCTGGGAGGTCACCCGATGACCTAGGACCTTAAAATTGGGTATCATCGGCTTCCTCTCCTGACGTGTAACACGCTCGTTTTTTTCCGCGAAGCTCTAGCTCCATCAGGGGCCAAACGCGAGGGGGTCGTACCCCCCCCCCCCCTTGTGCCGTCGAAGGACGCAAAATGGCCTGTGCCGGCGAGGGTTAAATATGAGAGCCTCTAAAAGAAAAATTTAGGTGAGAAGGAACTTACGGGACACCCTGTAACGTAATATATGGTGCAAACGAAGCAAAAATGTTCACAATTTTATATTCTGGCAGTTATTTTACCTACCCTGTGGCATCGCACTTGCCACTTACACGTTATACCACCGCCAACTGGCATGTTTGGTGAGGCTCCAATGCTCCCGTTATAATAGCGATAAAGTTGGTGGTCGAATAATGCCAATCTACACTTAATCCTTCTTATAAAAATGTTTTATTTTATTTTCTGATCATTCTGAGCAGAAAAAAAAACAAATCCATTGTAAAAAAGCTGATTTCAAGAAAGTGAACTATTCCCTTTAACCGCACAAGGTATGTAGACCCGTAAGTAAAAGTTTGGGACGGACATAGGTATGCGAGCGAAAATTGATGCAAAGTTGGCATATCAGATCGTCTGGGGCGTTGCCTTCCCTCCCCCTCCCCCACCCCGAATCGAATTCGAATCCCCCGCCACTGATAAGCAGTTGCATTTCGTTTTGAATCTTTTCTACGCAATTTGAATCTTAACTGGTGTTTCCCTTCAGCACCAAGCTCCGTCCTGTGCTAAAACAAAATGGCGGCATGATATCGCCTACTGTGCCCCGCCATTGGTAGGTATGCTGTTGTGACTGAGCGGTGGCGCTGGCTGTCGCGTCTCTGTGCTCCAGTTCATGGGTGTCGCCTACATCCTGCAAATGGCCTGGATGCTGATGTTCGGCGTGCTGGTGATCGGCTGCGTCATGTTCGCCATATTCTGGAACATGTGCCTCTCGGACCGCGTCCAGGTGCTTCAGGAGTGCATCGACTTCAGGCAGTTCGGTGGGTGCTCCCGATGGGAGGCGGGCGGGCAGAGTATCGATGAGTATCGACGATGAGTGCCAAGTTGGCACTCATTTCTGCCTTGGCACTGCCAAGGCACCATGTGGTGGTGCATGGCGCTCGTTGACGGGGTTGTTGTGGGGCGCTCGTTTCCCTTTCGTTTGTATTATCTTGGTTATCTTGTTACCACATTATCTTGGTGCCCGTTCTGGCGCATGACCTGGCCGGGTCACCGGCAGACCCCCTCTCAGCCGTCCCGGCCACGTGGCTCCGATCGTCGCTAGCGCAGCTGGGGGGGGGGGGGGGGGCAGGCTCTGTCTCTGACCACTGGCCAGGGCATCCATTCCTAACAATCGTGTTCCCCAATAACGCGCGGCCTGGCCTCCGTTCCCAGCGTTCGTGTTCCCCAATAACACGCGTGAGGAGGACATGCAGGTGTGCGGCGCTGGCGAGCAGAAGCTCTTCTGCAAGGACTACGTGGAGAACATCCAGGTGAACCTGGTGCTGTCGGCGGTCGGCTGCTTCCTGGTGCTGCTCAGCCTGGTGAGCGCAGAGCGCGGCAGACGCGGCCGGCGGCCCATACTCACTGCGTTCTGCTCTTCCGATAGAGCTCTCACAAGACCCAGCTGTACGGTCATTTTACGATCGTCATCAATGCTATCAGTTATCAGTCAGTTATCATCGTTATCAGTTCCTCATACGTGCCTGTTTCGACTGCTGCTGCTGCTGCGAGCTACGTCCCGCACAGAGCGTTACTCTGTTACTCCGCTGTTTACTAAGTTGGGTCCGATAAAAGTTACCATCCCACCTTAACAGCAGGTTTGAGGTGAGATAGCCAAATTGGGGTCCCTAGCTTGCAGTCACCGGTTTGGGCACTCACATCTAGAAATGCTTTACTTCCGAGATATTTAATTTCAAAGTCTGCAGTTTTCGGATTCTAAGGGGTAATGCATTGGAATGCCTCCTTAGAATTTGTGACGTCAGCGCAGATCTAACGATTTTAAAATCTTATGCTAAAACCTTAGTAAAACGTGGTGGTACAGTTCATCGCTAAAGTAATGTGCGGTTTTACCAATCATCTGAACGGATGGTTTTGACTGGCGATTTTTTTAATGCGGAGTGATTGAAAAGAAGACGTCAATAGATAAAGTTGCAGCTGCAGGGGTGACGTGAGAAACTTGTTTGGGGTATTCCCATCGCACCGTCCAAGACCGCCTTTCTGGATCCGCGAGTGGGGTAGGTACGAAATTTTCCTTTTGGCACAAGGCCTCAAATTGATGCGGTCAAAGGCACTGAAAGTTTTGTGTCGATACGTTTAGCGGCTTAGAAGATAAAAACGGGAAGGGGCTCTACGTCTGCAGCATCTCCCCCCCCGCGCCAGTCAAGCGCGGTTCAACTTAGTTGTAAAACTGCCCGCCGACATCATCGAGCATTGATAGCTGGCCATTTGTTACCGGTGTCTGGTGTCCAGTGTCACCTATGATGACTATGCGCGTCTGACCGGCCGGCGGCCGTCCCGTCCCGCCAGGTCAACTACCTCATGTGTCTGGCGGCCAACTACGCACACATCAAGGACCAGGAGAAGTTCGTCGACCTCAGCGAGATGCAGTACCTGCAGGTGTCTGAGCCGGGCACTCTGGCCAAGGACCGCTTCTAGGCTCGGCTCGCAGCCCGGCCTCCCACGGCAGTGAGCCGCTGTCCTGCGGCTCGTTACTTAACCTTCGCTAGATCAGCGGAGGATGGCACCGAGATTATGTATATGAGGCGGCGGTCTGTCACTAGTGTCACGTATAGAGACAGCACAGGCCCGCTCGGCCGCTGGGTGCTGGTATCCGTTCAGCGTGCTGCCGAGTGCCGGCAGGACCCGCGCCATCGCACCATTGCGTGCTCTGTGGCCGGGCGCCTGCTGCTGCGGCGGCGCAGAGAAGTGGGCCGTGTTACCCGACCATCGTCCGTGTATGTACAATCCCGTCTGGTGTTGTGATTTCTTCCGTCCAGTTCCTGTCCCATGTCTAGCGTGTAGGTTTGTGAGTGATGTGTGTGCGTCTCCAGTAGTGTGTTTTGGAGTGCAGTCTCCGTCGGTTACGCAGCACTCCGAGTGTGTGTGTGGGGGGGGGGGGAGGGGTGACCAGCGGGACTGGGAGGTGCCACTGGAGGCACATGGACACTCGTGGGTCCGCGACGCACCGCACGTTGATCGCGCTATTCACACATGGACGCCCGCAGCAGGATGCCGAGCTGGCACGCGCGTTCGAGGTCGCGCCCGCGATCGAAGGCTCGCGGACACGGCTGGCTGCGTGCGAGATATTATTCAACAAAGCTACCACTTGTTTGTGATGAACTGATGTTCGAGGCAGCTAGAGAGCGTTCGCGGTAGGTGGTTTCGCCGGATTAATTTTAGTTATCAGCGTTCTGGTTTAAGGGGCGGCAGTGCGGTTTCTGCCCGTCCGTCCTGGATCGGCGGCCGGTTCGCCCGGCTCAGGATGTGCAGGGCTTGGGAGGCGGCGTTGGGCCCCGCGCCGCGCACAGCATCGTACTGATAGCCTTCACACGCCGCGCCGGTGATGGCATTAGCACAGAGTCTGCGTCGCACTCGGAACCGCCCGCTTCTTGCCAGATGGACGCCGCGCAGCGCGATGGTCCCGTCAACGGCGAGGTGCAGACGAATGTTTTTGATATTTATAATATATTTTAATCTCTAACGCTGTCTCTCCCGAAGTGACTAGTAACAAATGGGCATACAAGAGCACGCCTCGGGACGCGCCTAACGGCACTCTATCATCGTCCCACCTTGACCAAGCACAGTCAAGGCGGGACGTGCTCAGTGCAGTGTTCCGTTTCACATTGTCAGTCTGCTCCCAGTTCCCACCCTCCCAGTCACCAGCACAGCGGAGCGGCGCCGTCACCGCCTGTTCCACTCCTCCTGTTTCTCAGGGTGGATGTTAAACTTGCCGTGGCGGCCGACACCGGCGAGGAAGCGGCGCGCCCCGTGGCGGCCCTCCCGCTCGAGCGGCCCCCGGCCGGCGGCACGCGCCTCTCGCAGCGCCTCCTGCGGCGAGGCGGCCTCGAACGCCGCCCGGTAGGCGGCGCGCCGGTCGGCCGCCACGCACTCGGCCGGGAACTTGGCGATCGAGGATGCCAGGTTAACTGCCTGGCCAAGCGCGGTGCCACAGGCCACAAGCCGGTTGGCCAGCCCCCACTCGAAAGCCTCCTGGCCGGACACGGTGCGTCCAGTCAGGATCATGTCCAGCGCGCGCGAGAGGCCGACCATCAGCGGCAGGCGGTCGGCGCCGCCGTCGAGCAGCGGCACGCCAAACCGGCGACCGTACGCACCCAGCACCGCCGTCTCCTCCACGACACGCAAGTCGCACCAGAGCGCCAACTCCAGGCCGCCGCCCACTGCGAACCCGTCCACGGCGGCCACCACGGGCTTGGCGCACGGCTGGCCGGCGGGTCCCGGCGGCGGCTCCTCACCGGCGGCCAGCTCGGCCAGGTCGCAGCCCGAGCAGAAGTTGCCGCCGCGGCCGTGCAGCACGGCCACTGGCGAGGTGGTGTCGGCCTCAAACCGGCGCAGCGCAGCCGTCAGCTGGAGCGCCGTCTCGGCCGAGATGCTGTTACGCGATGCGGTGCGGTTCAGCGCTATGGTCGTCACCGAGCCGACGCGGCCCGTCAGCACGTGAGGCGCCGCATCAGCCGGCCGGTCGCTGCTGAATAAGCAACGCTGGAGCCCAAATGGCCCATTGGCCCTTTCTCGCAGCAAACGCAACACTGCCATCCTTTCCACTTACCAAAACCACAGCTGTGAACCTGCAAACAAAGTAGAAATTATGGGTATAAGGATGTTGAGTGTATGAACTTCCTAACAATTACATAAACATTGCCTGACAACAATGAAAATCTGTATTTTGTAACACTAATTCATTTTGATTTATGCCTACCATGGGCATAATTGTGAGCACCAAAATCAAGTCACATATTTTGAAACAGAATACAATGATTCATCCAAAGCCCCTGCTTTACAGTGCAGTGAGAATAAGTGGAAGTGGAAGGAGTGGAAGTGGACTGATACAAGCTGAGTGTTAGGTACTAGCTTCTGGGATGAGTGCATGGCTTGCATTGATGAAAAACAACGTTAAGTTCAAATGTTTTAGTTTCCTGGTGGTCTGAAGTCAATGAGGTTGCAGTGAAGGTTTGTATAAGGCACATTTTTTACACATTCTGAGCAGAGGCACCAGGCAGGCTGTGTGAAACGCACCTAATCTTTTATCCTGAATAGATCCATGCCTACTGAGGAGAACTCTTGAAACTGTTCTATAGTCCTTGGGTGGGTAACAATATTTTTTTAAGTTGTCTATATGTTTCATTTCCATTTAAGTTGGTTTATATTAGTCCTTAACAATACATATATGCAACAGCTGGGACATACCTACCAACCTACATTGATAAAATGAGAGCAAGTACCTGGGAAGGGAATCAATGTCATACACAAGCAAATAAAATTTATATATTTGAGGGCAACTTGCCTAGATTGAGATAGAACTCAATCTATCGTCTGGAAGAATATCAGATAGGCCTCTCTTGCACGGAGACTGAGACTAACCCCGAATTCAAATTCGCAGTCTCCTTGGACGAATAGGTATGTCTATAAACTTGGCAACCGGTATTAATAGTCTGCGGACCATTAAGAGTGCATTTAGAATCACATGAAAACGATCTTGACTTGTGCCTCCAGGCAAGAGAGGCCTATCTTTATCCAGACGATAGCAATAGAGTGCATAGATAGATATAAAGACATTATGGGCCTGTTCCAGCGCCTCCAGAAGAAATTCTTGACTGGAGGCTCTACCAGAGGTTTTACTGGAGGCGCTGGAACGCAATCTGGAGATTTCTGGAGATTGGCGTCATAGATACCAAAAGAATGACGATTGTTCTCTCTTGAAACGCAAAATTTGTTTTCAATTTTAGTTAAAAAGATAAATAAAATTATAGCAATGTAATTTTCTTTACATTCAAGTTGTAAAATAATCAGTCAAATGTCCTTTGTTTACATTCGTGATTGTCACATGTGCACCATAATTGTAGACCAGAGCCTCCAGAGAAATTTGGACCTCTCAACTCTCTGGAGGCTACTGGAGGTTTCTGGAGCTTTGGCGAGAGCTTTCTGGAGCTTTCTGGAGGCGCTGGAACGCTCTCTGGAGGATTCTAGAGCTTTCTGGAGCTTTCTGGAGGTTTCTGGAGGCGCTGGAACAGGCCCTATTTCTATGTAGAGTTCAGTGGATAGAGCGATCCTTAGCGTTACAAATGCAACAAGCGCGTCAGTCTGAAATAAAAACCGGCCACTAAAACATTTTGTTGTAAAGGCCTGGTTACTACTTACTAGAGATGTCAATCGGATACCAACTTTTATTAGGTACACGGTACACCGATACTAGAGCACTTCACGGATAGGCTTTTTAGGATCCGGCCCGGCCCATATCCGGCAAGTCATATCCAGATCCGCCCATTATCCGCCTTTCTTTGAATATCAGAATCCGGCCCACCCATGGCCCGTATTGCAGCCAAACTTCCAAAAAATATCCGTAATAATCCGTTTCACCAATAACTGGTTTCACCCAAAACTGGACTAACAAATTCAACAACTGGAACTACACTGTAAAAAATGCTAACAAACCAGTTAGTTAATTCTTCAAGCAAAATCTAGTATTAAAACACACGTTGTTGCAAAAAATGGGTCAGGTAACACATATGTTTGCAACCTAACACCACATCCATTTCATCGAAGCAGAAAAGCTAACATCATTGTAAGCCGACAAATATTATCCGTGCAAACCATGCCGTGCTATTTGACAAACATGTTTGTTTATGCTTCCTTTGCCTTTTTTTTGGGTAACGTGTTAACTAACAAATCAAACGCATGTTGTTACTCACAATCTTAGTTTTCTTACTACTCTTTTTGTTGTAGCATTACAAAGACCTTAGTTAATTGAAAAAAAATCGCCATTTTGTGCGCCCCTCTGCGCCCGCCATTGTTCAGTCTGTGCCAAGTCAGAGAGGGGAGAGGACGCGTGCGTTGTGAAGGAGCTGAGCTGTGGCGTATAAGTGTTGCGTGTGCAGTATAAGGAGCTGCTGTGGGATGCAGAAGTGGTGATACTGTGGTGATACATAACCCGAATAAGAATAATAAGAAGTCAAACAGTGAAATGATATGGATTGTTGGACATGGCTTTCATCCTTACTGGTATGGTGAGTGATTATGGGAAAGATCAGTGGAGATATTGCTGGCGTTTTAGTGTGGTTTATGTATGTCACTCATTTTCTTTTCAAATGAAGCTCCAACCAGGCTTTAGAGGGTCTCAGGTTGGAGACACTGTTCATTTGTTGACTGTCAATTGACGTCTATAAGTACATATGACGGACTGAACAATGAGCATGTTGCACACTAAAACCGCATTAAGCTTTGAACAAGAAATTAAATGTACCTAATTTTTGGTTGGGCACTCAACCAGTGAACGCAGTGAGGTGCTGTTTTATGCAATTCCTGTCACTGCAGCCATGTTGTCAAATAATTTTTTTTTGTAGACACATGAGCCACCATTGTTCGGTCAGGGAATTTTTGCCCTTTTGTTGCAATTTAGTTTGCCCATATCGACAGAAATGAAGCACTCTCAATGTTTTCGTAATAGGTATTTGGAGCCTGTATGGTGTCATGGCTGGTGCGGATTCCTGCAGGCTATATATAGCTTAGAACGTAACTTTAGAACGGAGCGCCTTTGCCGCTCGGCAGTTTCCTACAGAAGATTACTTTTTTAGGTTCATTTTTAGTACAATAAGAGAAATATTACTGTATGCAGTTGTAAGCTTGCTGAAAGGAGCTTGAATGCAGTTTTGAATAAACATGTTTGATGAGTTTAATTCGATTCGTTTTTTTTTTTTTGGGGGGGGGGGGCGGCTGTGAAAAGAGGTGACTAACACGCACATTAGTTAAGTTACACGCCTGTTCTCAAAAATGCATTTAGTTTATTAACACGCACAGCTTAGTTAGCTAACACGCAATATGTGTGTTTTGCGTACACGCATATAGCTAGTGAAAAGTGGCCGTGTGACAAACACATGTGTTACCTAACACGTCTGTAGTTATTAACAAAACACACCGATGATAGTCAATAAACACGCTTACACGGCTTATCTTAGTAACCTGGCAAATATTCGAAAACTAGGAGGTGTGTTTCAAAACACGCTATTCAACCTTTTGCGTGTAATTGAAAACACACTTAGTCATGAAATGCGTGTTTTGCTTACACGCCTATGGTTAGTGAAAAGTGGCCGGATAACTAACTAGTTGGTAAACTTTTTTTACAGTGTAACAACTTCAGCTGTCTGGTCAGCCATACATCTCATAGACCATCATGGTTCCAAAAACCATGCATACATTGCATACATTATCCACTTGAAGACAAGTCTTGTGACAAGTGAGTGTCATAAAATGATGCCTATTACTTTAATCAAACCTCTGCTGCCGCTTAACACATAGGGGAGAGTGGTGCAGGAGGCCCCCCCCCTTAAGCTCAGTTGCTATTTTTAGACAACTGATAATATTTAAGAGCAAACGTGTGCATGCGCTGTGAGCATGCATCATTTTCCCATACATATTTGCATTCAAAATGAATCTAGGGGGTACAAAAACCGTAAAATTTAACATTTT